CTGTCCTCTTTGACAGCCTCTCCCCTTTCTTCCTACCTCACTGGCCTTGCTTCCTCATTCTCCTTTGTTGACTCCCAAGGCCAGTTTCAAGGTGTGTGGCAAGTGCAGTCACCAGGGAACCACTCTTCGCTCAATGCTCGGCTGTTGCCATCTTGAGATTCTTAATAACTTTGAACACCGGGCCCCACACTTTCATTTTGCTCTGGGTTCTGCAAACTGCGTAGCCAGTCCTCTTCCCAATCTGACTTGGAGTGCCTTTACGGTTGGTCCTGGACTCTCTTCCCTTGTCTCTTACCTCTCTTTACGTCCTTGCTTAGGTGAATCATTGCTATGGCTTTAAATGCTCTCCCTGTGATAATAAATCCTGAAGATACCATTCAGCTCAGATATCCCCACTGAGCCCCATCTGCTCATATCCACCTCACCACCTTGATATCTCAACTTGGATGTCTAATGGTGTCTAATGGACACCACAAACTATCAACTATAGACCTTTTTATTTCCTCCCTCAAAATGCACGCCCTCTCCCATGCTCACTACACTCAAGCCTCACAGGTAAACTTTTGTACCGTGTATGCACCATCCCCCGTATGCTTTCCCGACTGGAAGCATTTGTGCTTCTTGTTCTGTCTTTCCTCTACAAAGTTTGTATAAATTCACACTCCCATAAGCAATCTATCTTAAAGCCCATTTACCCACACCACGACCACGACAGGGTATTCATTCTAATTATTTGATAGGTCAGAAAAAGTTTTCTTATTATGTTACTTTGTATTTCTTCAATTATTAAAAGGGTGAATTAATTGACATTGCCTTTCGTCTTTGATGAACTGACTTCCTTGTTCTCCGTGTCCATTTTCCCCAGTAGAATATCTTATTAATTTGTAAGAGTCCACAATATATTAAAAATATCAGGCCAGCAGAGTGGCACATTGGTTGGAGTTGGCTTGGGACATCAGCTCTGAGCAGCAGGGCCCTGGTTTGGGTCCCACACGAGGGCCAGTGATGCTGCGCCCTCTACAGCTAAGAAGGTTAACAACAGCTCAACCAGGGCTGGGCTGCTGTGAGTCTCCGGCGACGGCGTAGGGTGCAGTGGGGCTGGCTGGCAGCTGGCGTGAGCTTTCATGAGCTGCCGTGAGCCGCCATCCAGTGGTCAGTGACCCATCTGCCTCACCTGGGAAGAGCCCAATGATAATACCAACATGGGCCAGTGAAGCGACGTACTTCACAACTAGACTGAAGAACAAAAGGACAGCAACTTGTCTGTTCCCCTCCCCCAATTCCCCAATAAAATCTTTTAAAAAATATATCAATCATTTGTCTTAATAAAAGTGAGTTAGAACAAAGCTGGAACCAAGAGCAAATCATTGAGATCTCAATGTAAGGTAAAGCATGGTAGAAGCAATAGGAATGTCATGGACTCTGAGAATATAATGATCTAAAGGGGGAGTATTGCAGGCAAAGGGAAAAATCAGGTGCAAATACCTTGCTTAGGAAATGAACTTTGAATGTTTGTGTTGCCAGGTGGGTCCCTATATGGTTGCTACTTGTGTGCATCATGACTTTGAATGAATTCCACATGGACTGGGTTGAAAAATGGGCTTTAGTGAGACAAATCTACAAAAGCAGGGTCAGCAAGAAAAGAAAAGGCAGGGGCCCCTTGACACCCTCCTATCACAGAGAGGCAGGCCATGGCCAGGGGCTCTGATGGACACAGTTGAGATCAGTTGAGGGAGCCTGCCCCACTGGTTCTCCCTTCATACGAAAGGTCAAGTGTAACAAAGCAGCTTTGTCAGACTGGTTGATGCCAGTCTGGTTTGGGGCTGACTCAGACTAGGTACTAGTGAAAATAGAAAGATGTTATCAATGTATATATTAGCAGACCCAGCCCAAGTTGCTGACAGATTGAATGTGGTAAAAAGGGAAGAAAGGGAACCAGGGATGACTCCTGGGTTTTACTTTGAGTAACTGGTAGAAGTGGAGAATTTGACGAGGATTAGGGAAGACTAAGGGAAGAAACAGGTTGAAGACACTGAGCTTCAAATTCCAGTGACTAAGAGAACATTTGTCACTGATACTTGAAGCGTGGAACTGGGAAACAGGAATAAGAATAAATACCATTTCTGTCATATCGTGTTTGAGAAAGTGGGATATTCCAGAAGTGCTCATGAGGTAGCTAATGCCATTTGAATTCAACAACGCCCAGAAAGGTGAAGTTTGAAAGTAAGTAAAAATTTAGAAAATTAATTCAAGAACACAAAATTCACGTCCAACGTGAAGACAACTACAATTCAGCTTCTGGAGTTGTCGATTTCCATCAACAAACGCAGTGCTCTCTATAATTGCTAATATTAATCCCTCTAATCCCTCACATCAACCCACAGAAGCATCACATAGGCTGTGAACTTATTTCTACTAAGATAGGAAGAAGTAAGGAAAACTCACATAAGTAGCCTAGCCAATCTAAGATCTTTTCTGCGACCATTGTTCCTTACCAAAATACATTTATTGAATAGTTACCATGTATCAAAGACTGTGCTAAATGCAACATATGCTTTATCTCATTATCATCTTCCCAACCACCCTATGAAATAGGTTTGGTAACATGCCCAAACTCACACTATTAATCCAATCCCTACTGGGATTAGAACTCAGACAATTCAACTTCACTGCTTTTCAAAGATGACAACTGTCTGATTCCAGTAGTACTGATTACTATTCCTGGCCCATGGGAGATCAATCATTAAATGGAGTTGAATGAGTGAATTTATACTCTGCTCAACTTCCTCTCAAACCGAGAAAAACTGTATTTCAAAACAGAAAGGTAAGTAACGACCATTATTTCCCCATGTATAAGACGCACCCTTTTTCAAAAAACTTGGGGCCTAAAACCTGGGTGCATCTTATACAGTGGTTGTATGAGAGCAAAAACAAGCGTGAAAAAAGCGGGACATGCAAGTAAAAAAAAATCTACAACCACTGTATAACACGCACCCAGTTTTTAGACCCCAAATTTTTCATAAAATGGTGCCTCTTATACATGGGGAAATACGATACAAAAGTCGGACAATTAAGTTCGCAAACTCATCCTAGAAAAAGGGCTACATACCTCATTACTGAATATCACTACGATCACCTTTGAAGTACTCCCCTTGGGAAGCTATGCATCGACGCCAGCGCCTAGTCCACCCTTCAAAGCAATTTTGGAACTCTTTCTGGAATGGCCATCACAGCTGTCGTCATGTTACCCTTGAATGTCATCAAAATGTCTTCCTTTCAATATTTCCTTTACCTTCTAGTAAAAAAAGAAGTCATTGAAAGCAAGATCAGGTGAGTAGGGAGGGTGTTCCAATAGTTATTTGTTTACTGGCTAAAAACTCCCTCACAGACAGTGCTGTGGGAACTGGTGCATTGTCGTGATGCAAGAGCCATGAATTGTTGGCAAAAATTCAGGTTGTCTAACTTTTTCACGCAGCCTTTTCAGCACTTCCAAATAGTAAACTTGGTTAACTGTTTGTCCAGTTGGTACAAATTCATAATGAATACTCCCTCTGGTATCAAGAGGTTAGCAACACTGTTACAAGTTTACAAACTTAATTGTCGGGCCTGTACTTACACCTACCTGCCTCTTCCTCCATGGCTAGGGAGTTTGAGGGTTGACACAAAGGACATTTGCCTCCATTAATAGGACTGCCATCACTAGGATTCACGTCAGACTCAGCGTGAGGTAACCATAGCTTCAGTGTCTTTGAATAACTACTTCAGTATCAATGTTTTTCTCCATAAATGAACTGGCAGAATTGATATTTGGGGAAAATCATGTTAATTATTAATACGCTCTAATTCTACTAGTTTTACCTTTGGGAATATTCAACCTATTTTAGAGTTAATTCGGGAAGTGTTTACGTTAGTGGAAAAAAAGCTTAGAGTCTCCTCACTTTCATTATCCCTCTCCTGTAGCCATCACTCACTTTTCTTCCCTCAGGCACTTTCTGCTACAGTCAGATGAACTACTTTTACAAACTTCACTCAACTTCCCTGGCTTAATTTGTTTGGTCTCAACCAAATCTTTCACTGCTTTTTCTTAAATCAGACCACATTCTCTTTTGCTACTTTTGACTATTTAAAATTTTTTTTCAGCTCCACTAGTCATTTCAAATTATGCAAATAATCATGAAATTAAGTAAATAATTTAACTGTGACATCTGAGTACTTAAGTGTACCAAGCACTGTTCTAAGAGCTTTACATGTATTATACCACACTTAACCCTCAAAATCATATACATTACAGATAAACTGAGGCCAAAAACGTTGAGATCATCAATGTTGGAGATTGTATTTAATTGTAAAAATACAATATTTTCTGGCAATAAATAAAATACCTTTATGATTGTTTTAATGGTTAAAACTTGCATGTTTCCTAGTCTGTAACAGAAAAAATTACAAAAAGACAAGCTTCTTCATGTTTCATTTCAATTAACTATAAAATTAAAATACCTAATTATTTAATACTAAAATAACACAAAATATATTCAATATGTACTACAAACCTCAAAAATCTGATTCTATTATGCAATTATTTACAAACTCTGAACTAAGAGGAAATGATTTAGCCAAACAAATTTAAAAAACATGTTCTCAAATAATTTTATCTTAAGTAATCTATTCTTTGGAGTAAAAATGCTCAATTAATACAATATGTTAATTGTATCAATTTGCAGTTACACTTTGTTGGCGTAAATTTAGACCAATTTAAATTCCTATGTGCTTGGAAAATACAACTATTCTTTTTAAAAGCTATTAAGAACTTGTAACAATTTAATAATTCTACTAACATCCTACCTTACTCATTTTAAAGATATAGAATTTAATGATACCCTTTTTTTGATAAATGCAACTTATTCTCATTAACAATGTAAAACATTTCCTTTCTAAACTGTATAATTTTATTCAGTCATCTATATAACAATTTTATACACTAGTAAGCAAAGCAAGCAACATTACTTTTTTTAAATAACATCTTTAATTAAAGTTTTGCAAAGGTAAAATATTAAACTTAAAATAGGTCTTAGTACATCAAAATACTAAGTTCTCTAATTGTATTCCAAGGTGGTCTTTAAAACATAATATCCCATATATCGCAGAAGAGCAACCTTGATCTGCAATTGTACAGAATTATACAAACATAATAAATATATTTACGCCCTTACACATAACAGTATGTACAACAGCAGTTGACAATAGTAGCTCAGAACAGCAAAAAGGATTAGTCCCTCCCCCAAATTTTAGCCCTGATGCATCCTGGACCGATTTAAGGAACCTTGACTGAAATATTTCCTAACTAGTTAAATAGTAACTTAATAGTTACTAATAGTTACTAATTCAGTGTAGTTCTCTTAAAAGAGAAGGAAAAAATTTCTCTTGTTCCTCAAAATAAACAAAAATATTAAGTTTGGTGTGTTCCTTAAACTATAAAAAATGACAAATGATAGACTAAGGTGGGCTTAAAAGGGGAATATAAACTTCAGAATAATTTCCATAGCATAATAGATTAAAATGCAAAACTATTTAACATAAACTCATGAGGAAATACATAAAGCAACTTTTTTTAACCAATGAATTCAAAATCTGAAATAGCTGATTCAGACAGATAGGTGGGAGACAGACATGAAATAAAATGAAAATGTACAAAGATGGATCAGTTAAATATTACATTGCACAAAACCTCAAAAAACTTCAAGATGAAATAATCTGAAAATATAAGAATTTTCTCAAGTGGAAGAAAATGCTAAGTTAAAAAGGGGACGCCCAAGAGGAAATTATGTCTGCTTTCCTGCACAAGGCGTATTTACCTTCTGAAAACAATAGTGATATTATTGCTATAAGATAATCAAAAATTACTCTTAGGAGATAACTCTTTTCATTCCTCCATAAAAGCCAGAAAAAATAAGAAAACCAAATCCTTGATTTTCACTATAGCGAAAGAAAATCTTTATACAAAAGCTGTTATATTTTTGTCCTTGATGTCTAAAACCAGAATTATTAGAATATGCTCTTCAAGAACACATTTTAATCACTATACACACTGCTCAAACCCTGATGTATTCCTAGAAGAATCACATCAAGGAGGCTTTGATTTTAAGAGAGGCAACAATATAAATGTGATATTATGATGACATTTAATTAACAGAAATGTGAACATTTAAAAAAATATAAAAGTCCAATATAAAGATCCCCCTCATATAACAGACATTTGACTCTAGAATCTAATTGCACATTGAAGAGTTGTTTTAGCCAAATGGGCTCTTTACAGAAATTAAATGCATTCTCAAGCATTCATATGGTCTGATTATCCAAATGACCACCAAAAAGAGTACAAATACTGAAAGGCACACATTTCCACACTTTATCAAGTAATTTTGTGTAAATTTTCCTTAGCACTGTTGATTAACATAACTCTTTTTTGTAAAGTAAAAGGTGCCATCACCATCTGTGCAAATCTAAACAAATCCTCTTCTGAAACCTTTATCTATTTTCATAATACCAAGTCTGAGCTATTTTCCCTCTTTGAACAAACATATTATTTTCATTTTAAAATTCTTAAGTGGGAATCTTTGCCTTTTCAAAGGAATGACATTTTTATGGAACCTAATGAAATGATTTGTAAAATACAATGTTAAAAGCATGATTAAGAATTCAAGTACAATAAAAGATAAGCGAGTGGCATTCTTAGAGCAAGCGACCGTAATAAAACTAAAACATGCTAGCTGATTAAAAAGGAACACAATGCAGTCATATAGAAGAGCAGAGTTTGGTATGCAGTGTTCTTTGGACTGGCTTTCAGAATTTTCACAGGTAAAAGCATTTGCCAAGTATGCTGTAATTAATATGCAGTACGCCTACACAGGTGCAAATACAAATAGTTATTTCCTGCTTCAAAATAAACCTAGTGAATCACTCTGAAAGCAGTGGTTGTGCATGTTTGAAAATAAGGTTATAAAGATAGGCCAGTATACAATTCTACTATGAATATGAATGTCTACATAGAGGGGCCAAAACATGAGCCGAGTATCATATAGTAATACAGGTTCAGTAGCATAAGAACTACTAGATAGCCAAAGGGTTTCAATCAACACTGCAGCACTGCTAAACTTTTCTAGGTAGTTCAGGTTGTTGACTCTTCATTGGGAAAAATATAAACCTACCATCACCTACACTGAAGGGCAACTGAACAACCGGACTTCTGTGATTTCATCCTTCCCCTCTCTTCCCTCAGTCTCATTAATAAAAAACCAAACACCAAAAACCTGTGTGCTTTCAGAGTAGTGGGGTAAATAAATAAATCTCCCCTCCAAAAAACTAAATTAATATAGTAAAAATAAAAACCGTATTACCACTTATGGCATCTAAATGAAACCTAACTTGCATGCTAGAAACCACCATTTACACCAAAATTCAGAACATAAGTTAAAGGGACCAAGTTGGTATGTGGGGTGGGAAGTAGGGAAAAAAAATTATCCTTTTTGAAGAAGTTTAAAAATTTGTGTTAAAAAAACAAAGAAAAAAACAATATATAATAGCTCACAGTTTTTCTTTGCAATGTACTTTAAAGTGTTTCTATGTTACTTCTGGAAACACAAAGGGAAATAAAAGGAAGACAAAAATGGAAGATAAAAAAAATCAACATACAAAAGTAACTTAAACACATATGAATTTTGTCAAGGTAAATCATCAAAAGAATTAGCTGTAAGAACACAAAGGTGAAGACAAGTGTTCCTACAGTTCTCCCAGGCAACTAGTTCACGCTGAACACAGCAACGCCATATTGCATTTTAGAGCCCCTTACAGAACACAGAGCTATGCATTCTTAATATACATATTAAATTTCTATTATTTTTAATATAAGTCAAATTTATATGCTTTCTTTCCCATGTGCAAACTGGAGCCCATGTCTATATTATCAATGGCCTGGATGGGCCACCAAATTAAAGAGAGGTAAATATGTACTTAGTGCCCCCCAACCCCCAAATTGCCCCTCAAATTACAAAGTTGCATTTAAAAAAATTTGTTCAATTAAAATAATAGTTTTAAAATTCTTTACTAGTAAACACAAGAAACTTTTATAATTACTAAATTGTTTAATAAAAATCCAGGTCCTCACCACCTGCCCAATGCTTCAGTCAATGCACAGAATGTTATCTGAATGTTTAGCTTAAAGACTCAACACATACATAGCATACACTTCAGCCCAACAAGAAAAAATCTGTATCTATTCACGAGTATAGAATTTCAGCTATATGGTACTTTTGTGAAATAAAACCATAGTCCTGAGGAGTCACTTAGGGGTTTCTTTTTAAGGTGTAGGACTAAAAGAAACAATTGTTCCGTAAAGAAACTGAAGTTGTCATTTTAATTCTGCCCAACTCAGATGAGACCCAAGTTTAATGAGAATGACAACTGAATTAAAATACATATTCACTGCTGGGTCAAATTTTGTCTCCAAACTGATCACTGATTACTTCCCTATAACTCTTCATAGATGTTTCATAAAGCAGGGAAAGAAGTATATATTACCGAGGGAGAATACCAAGTAAAAATATTTAAGACCTATTATGAGAGCTCTAAATTGTTTCCTTATACGAGGGAATTAAAATTCAACACCATAATTCTTGCCCTTTTGTAAAAAGCCCACACGCAATTTTTACCAAATATAACCACATACAATAAGCAGTTTCATTTCAATCTATCAAAAGGGAAGTTTCTTCAGTTCATTCCAACAAGTATTTTCTGATTGAACCCAAGTTGGAGGAAGGGATACAGACAAAGCTTTACATGCTAATTACCGTGGCAGGTACCTGTATTTAAAATCGACAGTTATGGTTTTCCTACACAAAACCCCAACCCCCCTCCCTGCCCCAACAACCCTAGGTGCTCCAGTTCCATGGCTTGCTAGTTAGAAGTAGTGTCTATGTTGTCAAGGTCTCTTTGTTCCAGTAGCTTTGCTTCTACTGCACTTTTCTGACATGCAGAAGTTTTGGTTGTTGTATGTCCTAAGTTTCAAACTGTCCACTTTAAATTTTTTTTAAGTTTCTTTTGCTTTATTTATAAAAGAAAAGAACCAACTCTTCACCATTCTGCATCTCCAATGGCTTTGGAAAATATATAATCTCTTCCATTAAGATTCATAATGCCATCCTTGAGATGAAATTTCCATTTGTTTTTACTTCTGTGTATCTAAATAAACAAATTTAAAAAAAAAGAATGTAAGAGATACAATCAAAAGACAGAGGAAACAAACAACAAAAAACCCATTCACACACCAAAAAAACTTTCTCTTGTATATTACTTCATTTGCAAATTGGTTTCTTTTTTTTTTATTGAGATATAACTGACACGTAACATATTAGTTTCAGATGTATAACATAATGATTCAATATTTTTATATATTGAGAAATGATGACCACAATAAGTCTAGTTAACATTCATCACCACACATTTATAAGCTTTTTTTGTTAAGATGATGAGTTTTAAGGTCTACCCTCTTAGCAACTTTCAAATATATAACACAGTATTAACTAGTCACCATGCTGTACATTATATCCCATGACTTATTTATAACTGTTATTTTGTACCTTTTAACCACCTTCCATTTCACCAACCTTCTATACCCCTCGGTTTTGATAATCATCAATCCATTCTCTGTAACTATGAGTTCAGTTTGTTCATTTTAGACTCCACATACAAATGAGATTGTATGGTGTGTGTCCTCTTTCTCTCACTTACTTCACTTATCATGAGCCCTCAAGGTCCATCCATGTTGTCACAAATGGCAA